TAGATAGATAGATAGATAGATAGATAGATAGATAGATAGATAGATAGATAGATGGATGGATGATGATGTTAGATAATAGATAGATAGATAGATAGATAGATAGATAGATAGATAGATAGATAGATAGATGATAGATAGATAGATAGATAGATAGATAGATAGATAGATAAAACTTATGGGGATTATGTGGTACTGTACATTGTATAAATGATAATTCTTCAAGACAATAACTTATGTAGCCAGTAGGCATCAAACTTATTATGTAACCAAGCATAACTCTGAACTTCTAATCTTCCTACCTGCACCTCCCTGTAATCCTGTTAGGATTACAGATATGTATCACCATGGCTGGTTTTGATAATTTTTGACAGGCAACATTGATTTCTGTGGGCAAGCTATATGCTGTTTTTAAGCCATTAATAGTATATAGTATTAGTTTCCATTCAGATTCAAAGCTGAAACAATTATTAACTGTAACATGTTTTTGTTTTGTTTTTAATGAGGACTGTATTCAAAAGTTTTTGAAGTTCTAAAGTATATTTGGAAATGCACAAATTTGGAAATTCATAAAATTAAGAGTTTACCAAAATGCAGTACATTTGATGTGGGGTGGGAGTGATGACAAAACAAGTAAAAGTGGAATACGATCTCAAAGTGTTTTATGGATTTCATATACCCATTCTTTCCAAAGCTCATTGGTTTATATTTTCTCTGATGTGCACACAAATGGCTTTCGATATAGACTTAACATTTATAAACACATAAATATATATCATTTTCCAGGCAGTATGCTAGGTACAAAGGCACAAGCCATGCTTCTAGAGTCCTACCATGAACCCTGTGAGAAATGGTGATCCTGACTTTCCAGATAAGCAATGGAAGCCTCACAGAAGCCAACTCATTCAAGCATCAGTTGGCAGCATGGGCAGAAGTCCAGTTACCTGACCTCAAGTCCATTGCATCTTCCTGTAAAGTCACTCTATACAAGGAAAACCTTGAAAACATTACCACATTTCCCGACTGCAGACTTACTAGAGGAAGGTGATGAACTGTGCTAGTTCCTGCCCTCCCTAGCTTTGGAGCCAGCCACGTCAGTGTGCGCATGCATGCTGCATCCTTGGCTGTAATGACACGATTCTGGGTCAAGTTTTATTTTGGTTTTAAGTTCTGAGTTTCAGTCTCCTCATCTACCAAACCAATACGATTTGAAGATCTATTTTAGAGGGTTCTGGCAAAATTGGAGCACCATGCTGAAGGGAAACATTTAGCCAGTGTCCCCAGAAGCACAGATGGATTCTTGGTATCTGGACGTAGTAACATGAGTGTGTATGAAAAATAAGAGAGAAGACAGTGAAATGAAGGCACTCATTACTGTGCTCAGGGACAAGTATAGACTGTTTTAAGTCAGGCTGATCTTGGTAAAGATTTTTCGTGAGAATTAGCCCTCAGAGAGTGCCAGAAATTTTATGTATTACTGTATAAAAGCATTTAGATTTATTTTATTTCATGTGGGTATTTTCCCTGAATGTATGTATGTCCATTGTGTCCATGCATAGCATCCAATAAGGTCAAAAGAAGGCACTAGGTCCCCTGGAAGTAGAGCTGTGAACAGTTGTGATCAACTGTGTTGCTGCTGGGTGCTAAGCCTGGCTTCTCTGCAAGAGTAGTAAGTACTCTTAGCTGATAAGCTCTGCCTCTAGCCCTGTGTGTGATGTTTCTAATGATCTTATAAAATATGGAACCAGATGGGAATATTTCCGTATCACATCTATATATTTATGACTGTTACTATAAGATAATGGTATATGTAATCTCTTGATAATTAAGGGGTCTTTAAAAATTCTGTATGAAAATAATTATAATCCAGGCCCAGTACCACAGGACTATAATCCTAACAATTTAGGAGGCTGAGTAGAGAGGATCATGAGCTCAGCCTGGCCTTACATGGTAAGTTCAAGTTTAGTCCTGGCAACTTAGTGAGATCCTATCTCAGAATAAACATAAGAGATCTAAGAAAATGGATCAGCGAAGGAGTACTTGTCCATAATGTGTGAAGCCCTGGATTCAATTTTCAGTCCTTAAAATAGTAATTGTTGCACATAGTCTTTGAGTCATAAATGTTTTTATTCAACCACTTTATGGGACAGCTGGTTGTATTTAAAATATTATTGGTCTTTAATTTCTGAATAAAGAGGTTCTATCTCTAGTTAACAAATTGTGTATACAAATACACATTTTTCTTAAAGATTGATTATAATACATGAAAGGTTTTCAAACTCCTGGAATAACTATAGAGTTTCTTTTTCTTTCCTGTACCTACTTTTAAAATACTTTTTAATGTTTCTTGGTCAAAAAAACACTGAAGTATCTAAAAGGATAACCTTGAATATTTATTTATCTGCATAAACAAAATAGGAAGGACCTTATACAAAAATATGAATTTAAAATTTCCAGATCTAATCTTTTATGAGAATTAAATAGATAAATATAGGAATGATTCATCACTATAGCATAAAATGTCTGTTGTCAGGGACTGACTTTTGAAGCTGTTCAGTATATCTATATATGCTTAAATGGACTCCAAAAAGGAATATTTGTATTTGTAAGCCTAAAGAAATAATGCATGTGTTCTCTTCATAACTGCCCTAATTTATTCAGCCAAGTAATGCATGTGTTCTCTTCATATCTGCCCTAATTTATTCAGCCATCACCCTCTTAATACTGAGCCTTTTAGACTGAGCACTGAATTTTAATGCTGTAACCTTCAAATCGGAAGTATACGATCTATCTCCTAACAAAAACATCCCAGTTCAAATTGTAATCTTGTTTTTTATCTCTTCTCAGATGATGAGCCATGCTTGGAATAATTATAAACGCTATGCCTGGGGCTTAAATGAACTAAAACCTATATCAAAAGAAGGCCATTCAAGCAGTTTGTTTGGTGAGTATGATGTGCTTTGATTTGAGGGTTTGGTTTTGGCCTGGCTTGGTTTGGTTTTGCTTTTGGTTTCTGAGATGAGGTCTCTCTCAGTTGTCCTTCCTGGCTTGGTCATGGCCTATTGCCCTGACCAAGGCAATTTATAGAATAATGCATTTAATGGAGGTTTACAGTTTCAGAAGTTGAGTCCATGACCATCATGCTGGAGAGCATAGCATAATGCAGGCAGCCATGGCGTTGGGCAGGAGCTGAGAGCTTATGTTCTTATTCACAAATAGGAGGCAGAGAAAGACTAGAAATAGCGTGGGTCTGGAAACCTCAAATCCAAACCCCTAGTGACAGACATACATCATAATCCTTGCCACCCAGTTCTACCAACTGGAGTCCACGTATTCAAATATATGAGTCAGTAGGGGCCATTCTCATTCACGCTACCATACCTTCCCAGAGATTATAGTTGTCAACAACTACTCCTGGCTTTTTATTGACATAGCTTTTCTCTGAGTTACCTGAACTTACTGATGGTCAAAAAGCATGTGGGGTTCTGTGTTTCTCCAGGCCTTCCACATTGCTGTGGAACATTGAACCCCTGCTAGCAATAGGGAAAGATTGCATATAATGTATCTTTTAGAAAGAACACCAGCTCTATGTCAGAGATACCTGTATAACTGTTTAAAAAATGCAGATGCCCAGGCTGACTTCCAGCAATGGAGTACATAGCAGGGTTTTTAGGTCTGGGTGATTCCTGTAGAAGAGTATTTGATTACCTGCATTAATGGCTTCCTGCTGCATAAAAGCCAGTTCTTTATAGCTAGGCTGGTTGAAGCCACAGGCTGTGGTGATCCCCTCTGTAACCCAGTTCTGGATATACCTTTCTGCTCTTTGTTCAGTGGAAGACAAGGCAAGTGGATTAGGTCAGCTGTTTGAACATCCATCTATCTGCTATTTGCTGAATCACACTTGGTCCTCACAGCAACACTCTGTGATTGGGACTGTGAGCGTTAATATTGTTCCTCCTGTGGAAAGAAGGGAATCTTTGATGGATTCCTCTGAGCAAATACCTCCCCAGGGCCCACCTACTAGACTTGATTTCTTTTTCCAGCTTCCAAAACTGTAACTGTTTATAATAGGGGTAAAGGAAAAGAAGTATTCTGTGACTGCCGAGCTAACTTCCCATGCCTTAACTGAACACATTAAATGGTAGCAATTCATATAGCAGGTAACAATTGCTGGTGACACTTACGGAGAAGTTATTGTATAATGCCTGTCTGCCACATATGATTTAATCTCATTCTTATGTACATTTGGGGGGAGGAGAAAAAAAATGAAGCATAGAGAAGCATTTTCTCAGAGATAGGGACTCCGGTGTGACTGACATCAGACTTCATGTCCCTACTACTGGTGGTTCCTCGCTTTTCTGTCTCTTTAGGGCTTTTGATGAATTTAGTTCCAGTTCTGACATTGGTGTTAAAGGAGATAATCCAAGTCCTTGTAAGAGTTGAAGGTCTAGTGCAGCCAACACATGTGCAAACGGTGAATTGCCAAAGCATGACATGGTTCAGTAGATACATGGAGTTCCAGAAACCATTGGGGTCTTCCCAAGAGAGAAGGGCCTTGCAGGCCAGTGTGTGGAAGGGGCTGTGCTGCCATGATGATGATTCGGTTCAGAGACAGAGAACTTAGGCTGGGAGTGCCTGTAGCAGTAGTGGCTTCAGACATAATTAAAGTAATGCTTCCAGAACTCAGTGACTAGGTCCCATGAAAGCAGAGGTACAAGGTTAAGAGAGAAACTGAAATTTCATGGTAAGTCAGAAGTCTTTACCTTTTTAATGTTTTACTATTATAACATTAAAAACAAAACAAACAACAAAAACTGACTGGGCTAGATGGCTCAGCAGTGATTGCACTTCTTTTGGAGAAGGCCTGTCTTTAGTTCCTGAAAAGGCAGTTCACAATTGTCTCTTACTCCAGTTCTAGAGGATCCGATGCCTCCTTCTGGCCTCCACAGCCACTGCACAGATATGGTTCACAGACACACATGAAGGCAAAATATCTATACACACAAAATAAATAAGTAAATCTCTTTTTTTTATTACCCCATTTTTACTATCCTCTTTGTGAAGGTTGATCAGAAAACTCCGTTATGTGTTAATTTGCCATAATTCTCATTGATAATAGATCAATAGTTTTAATAATAAACTTTAAAAACATACCAAGTCTTTTGTTTTTTACACTTTCCACTGGATTTATTAGTTAAAAAAATGATTTTTGTAACCCAGATAAGTACTTATTCTTTATCCAAAAAGGTATTAAATATTAATATAGCAAAATGAACTGTTAATAATTACATGGTATCTGTCTCCATTTTCAAATTAGAATAGGCTACAGAGGATTTTCTTGTATAATAAAATCAATACCTGGGACTTACTGCAAAATTAAAACTTCTCATTTTTAAAGGTGAGGAAAACTTTGAATTGGCTTTTTTAGACACAGCGGAGCCAGATTCTTTGTTTGCAAATAGTATGTCAACCTGTGTGTTCTTTCAGCAAACTACAGAAGAAAGAAAGATTTTATCCCCTTTCCCCCCCGGGTTTTCAGGGTGCTTTCTGTTTGTAGTGGCTTGTTCAGAAGTCAGTTGGTAAGCACAGCCTGTTTGTCAGGAGGACAGTCTTCTCTGTGAGCCTTGTTTTTATCAGCCATTCGCATCTGGGGAGCCCTTCAACACTGATGCCTCTTTCTCCTGTGCTATTTCTTCCCAGTTACCTGAAACCCGCCTGTTTGCCAGGGAAAAGAAACCTGGCTCCCACCTTAGCTTAAACTGATGCTAATGAACACGAGAAGTGACCCCCAGTTCTTCACCTCCCATCGCACTTTAAAGAAGAAAGCAGAACTAGCATTTTTGAAGAATTCCTCCTCAAAGAGAACCATTTATGTTTGACAGGGATAAAGTACAAAAAAAAAAAAAAAAAAAAAAAAAAAAAAAACAGCTCTCAGTGACTAAGAAATTAGAAATCAATGATCAGATCATATGAAGCTGTTACCACGTATCCAAATGTGGCCTGAAGACATTCCCTCTAGTGTTTCCCTTGATTCCACAGTTTTGTCTCAAAAAAAGAAAACAAACAAACAAAAAAACAGAACAAACAGAATTTTTTAAAACACTGGATTAGAAAGTATGAGGTTAAAAGTATTCTAACTTTCATGTCCTCACCATAAAGTAAGATTTAAATTTACTCTGCTTTAGAAAATTTAATATTTCAGCAGTCTCTTCTAGTTTCCTAATGATAATTTCTCCACTTACTAGTTGAACAGTGTGTTCATTGAAGTATGTTCCCTTTCTATTTATGGTTCTGCATTGTAGTTCCTAGTCTTTCAACAGCCATTCATTGACTATCACTACTATAGTCATACAAGGGCACCATGGAGCTTGTGAAATGAACAAAATGTAACCTCTCTCTGCTAAGAAGGTTTGTAGACTAAAGGATGGCAGAAAGTGATACATGCCTGAGAAACGTAAAATCTCCATGCAGTGGAATCCCAGAGAGAATAAACGGAACCCTGGGCCTGGCTAGGCAAAAGAAGGGAGTTGGAAGCAATCACACTCTTGTAGACTGTGGATTTCATGTCAGAGTACAGAACTCCTCCTATTGACCCATGCTTTCGAGCTCTAGATTTTAGTCCTGTGGCCAGCTGCAGTCTGATAATGTTATGGAAGATTGTAAAAATAATCCTTATACTTTAGATGGTATACAATCCTGAGTAATGTCCTAAAATCATCATCACCTCTAGCCCTATCCTGCCCTGGACATTACCATCCTAGCATCCACACTTCGTGTAACCCGCCTGTCAGTCATTTGGTGGCCATTTTGCTCCATATCTCTTGGTGTTTCATTACTTGTATCCAAGTCACTGTTATTTCACTGATGGTCTGTAAGTGCAAGAGTAGCATGCTGCCAATTTAGGCGTATCAAAGAGAAACCCAAAAATATTTCCTTTAACAATAAAAGTACCTGATACTCAATTAATATGGAAAGGACAAGGAGACTCATACGCCAAGGTCACTAAGAGCTATGATCAAATGAATCTTCTGTCCATGGAACTGGAAAAGAGAAAAAAGAAATCTGTGTTGGTTTTGTAGTTCCACATCAAACTTCAAAAGTTACGGCCACAGTGCTTAAGTGTTAAGATGGGGAAGGCATAAAATGTATTTATGCTTAAGAAAAATGGTGGTACATATGAGGTCCAGTGCTATCTGCTATTGCAGGCATCTCCCAGGGTTCTTTGAACATATTGCCTGCTGATAAAGGGCAACTACTGCAATGATTTAAAAGAGCTGGCATGGTGATAATTCTACATCTAGCAAATTTCACACAGGTGCACTCCAGTGCAACTACACAAAATTTAATGACAACTTCCCCTTTGCTTCAGGCTTATTCTTTCTTTTCTTGTTAGAGAATGCAATCACAAATGAAGTTTTTAAGAGGCTTAGTTTATACAACTTGGAGCAAATGTTAAAGATGAGTGTTCATAGCCTGTAGCCTATAGAAAAAAATTGGTGTGGTGTATTCTTTATATTTTCTTTTTCTGGAAGAAGTTAATACTTTATTCAATGTTATTGTTTATTAATAACATTACTCTTAGTTTTTCCTAGGTGTGGTCAATTTGTGTGTATGTATGTGTGTGTATATATGTGTGAATGTATGTATATATGTGTTGAATAAATATGTGTATATACATATATTGAAAGGATATATTCTGGTATTTTTCAGGAAACATCAAAGGAGCAACAATAGTAGATGCCCTGGATACCCTTTTTATTATGGGAATGAAGACTGAATTTCAAGAGGCTAAATCATGGATTAAAAAATATTTAGATTTTAATGTGGTAAGTTAATATTCTTCATGAGTCCTTGAGTTTTAGCCCATCTATACCCTGGATTGGACATATTATTTATTATAATCTGTGCCAGTAAAAACAAATTCATTTTTTTATGTATGTGTGGGTGCGTGTTGGTATGTGTACAGGTGTGTGTGTACACACGGGACCTAGAGGATTATGTCGTAACTCCTCTGGGGTCACCCACCTTTTTTTTTGTCCTTTGTTTTTGAGGCAGGGTCTCTTACTACCTAGAGCTTGGCACCTTAGGCTAGCTAGCCAGAAGACCCAAAATGCTACCTATTTCCAGCTCTCCAGTTCTGGGTTTACACATTCAGGCCACCACATCCAGCTTTTTGACGTGGGTTGTAGGGATCAAGCTCAGGTCCTCCTGCTTGAGAGGCAGAACCTTTCAGAGTGATTCCTACCTCTCCAAATGTTGCAGCCTTAAATAGTAAAGGCGCTGTTGCGCTCCATCCTTGTTTACTTGTTGTACATGTGTATATATGCTTTTTTGCCAAATTAAGGGTAATTCAAAAAAAATAAATATTTAAACTAGTCTGCACTATCAAATCCTCTTGTTCAAAGTACCACAGCAACCCTGCAAGATGGTTGTTGAAGCCCAAGGTTTATTCCTGAGCATACGGCTGGCTGTGTATTGGAGTCATGACTCTGTCACAGGGCTCTGTCCCCAGTGCATAGTCTTGACATTGTTCAAAGCACGCAACATTGGCAGCCACTGCCACTTAACTAAGGCTTCAATTTTGTGGCTCATGTACTCCTATTCGTTAAGGAAAAAAAAAAAAAGAAAAAGAAATCACCTACATCTGGGTCTCTGTGCACAAATAACATAGTTTTCAGCTTTTTGTATATGTGCATTCTTGGCAAATAAGCAGATTCCGAGTGCACTCTCAGGGAACAGTGCGATAGAGGGAAACAGCTCCAGTGCTTGATTGTGTCTCCTTGGATCTAACCGGACAGACATTGTTTTGCCTCATAAGGATGTTGGCAAGGAACTTATTCTAAGAAAAGGAAGCATGTCCTCCCTGGCTTTTTAAAAGTCCTTGACTTCTGGCTGCATTTTTGGTATTCTTTTCCATCAGAGATTACTTTGCAGAAGTCTTTGTAAGCCTCTTGTCTAGCTAGGAAGCATTCAGGGTTATCTGCGACTCCCTCCCTCCCCCAGCCAAGGTAGAAGAAGCATACTGCATGCTGAAATGGAATAGAGGAAGAGAGTGTTCCTGCCTACCCTGCTGCGGTGTCACTTCTCTGTCCTTTGGAGAGTGGACAGCAGCATTAGCCAGAGCATTAAAGATTAGTACGAGCAAACCTTTGTCCATCACTTTGAATTTAAACAAGTTTAAAGACTTATAAAGCACAAGTCTTAATATTCTGTTCCTCCTTCTTTGATTGGTTGCTGTCCGTGCTCTATTTACTAGGTCTTACAGAGAGACTGAGGTTTATGCTTAATCTTCCTGATAACTGATTCTAGAATATGAGGGAGACAATTGGCTGACACTCCAGAACTTTGGGAATCAGTGCGTCAAACTCTTGTATTTGATTTTAAATTTTTTAGGTTTATTTATTTTCATGTGTATGGATTTTTACTTACATGTAAACATGCTTATTGTGTATACACGCTTGGTGCCCAGAGATGGTCAAAGGAAGGTGTTGGATGCCTTGGAACTAGAGCTTAGATGTTTGTGACACATCATATAAGTGGGAGGAACTAATCCTGGTTCCTCTGCAAGACCAAGTGCTTTTAACTGCTGAGCTACTCTCCAGCCCCAAGCTCTTTTATTTTTTAAATGCAGGAAGAAAGTGGGTATAAAGAGCTGGTGGTTCAAAATGTACAGAGCTGCTTGATGGGACATTATGTAGTAATGTTCCGACAATCCAATAGAACTAAACATAAAAAACTCAGAGTACAAAATTTTATCTTTTTATGTTTATTGCCTTAGTAATACTCTGTCTTTGTTTCCTTACTTGCTTTTGTGGTGCCAGAGATCAAATCCAGGGTCCCACATGTGCCCAGCAAACACACTGTGCTAAATTTCAGTTGTCTTAACAATGCGAATTAGTAGGAACGACTCTGGCTGCCTACCACACCTACTCATCTTTCAGCTTTGGTGATATGTTTCCCATACCTAGAAACCTTAATAACACTAGACCTATGAGCAGTTCCAGGCTCCTTTTCTGCTTCTTGGGTTGATCTGTCTTTGTTGTCCCAAGCCTGCCCAAATCCCATAGCCATGCTTTGCTTTCATGATCAGAGTATCCCAAGCTCTGAACTTGAGGGGTAAAGAGACTTGGAGGATGGGAAGTGTTTCATTTTTCAAATCTAGGTACAGAGGCCTCTCAAGGTAAGAGAAAAAAAAATGTTGCTGGAGTAGCAGCTGGATTGGCTGGCCTCAGGCCACTAATTAGGTGAAAAGAGTATTTCTGTGGGCCACAGGAACCCCTGAGAAAGCAAAGTGAATCTAAATAAGTAATATAAACCTCTGTAGAAGCCAAAAAAAAAAAAAATGTGTTGGTTGGCCTCCTTACTCATGGGGTAAAGAAGTTAAGCTATCATTAAATGTTTGTTACGATGCTGAGTTTTTAAAGTCTTAAATTTTATCTAAAAATATGCATTTTAGTACTATTGATAACATATGCTTTTCAAAATGTAGTTCTAAAAACTGTAGCAATGTGTCTAAATTTTCTGTTTATTGTGTAATGTGTGTGTGTGTGTGTGTGTGTGTGTGTGTGTGTCAATGTGCATGTGTGTGTGCCTGTGTGTGTGGTGTTGTGGGTGGTGTTGTATATGTCAGGGGATACACGCATGAGAAGCTACAGCAGGACAGGACATTGAGTGTTTTCCTCTATCACTTTCCACCTTATTGCCTTGAGACAGGGCCTCCATTGAACGGGCAGCTTGCCATTTTGGCTAGGCTGCCTGACCAGCAAACTCCTAGGATCCTGGCCCTACCCCAGCCCACCCAGCCCTACACTCTGAATACCCTGCTAACAGATGTATGCATCAATGCCCAGCTTTTTATAGCGATGCTTGAGATTTGAACTCATGTCCTGATGGCTTGCAAAGCAAGTGCTTTCCCCCACTGAGCCATCTCCCAGCCTTATTATACTATTCATAGCAGGAGGAGACTTGAAACATTCACTGAGACTCTATCAGCATATTTTTCCCATAAAAATATGCTAACCGGTTGAAAATAATGCTCATTTGGTAGAGTGCTTGCTTAGCATGCAGAAAATCCTAGGTTCAATTCCCATCACCATACAAAAACTGGCTATGGTGGCATATGCCTGCTAATCCTAGCACTGCACACAGGAGGTAGAAGGAGATCAGAAGTTCCAGGCCAGCTTCAGTTACATAAAGAATTCAGCTTGGGCCAAATGATGCTTTTTATTTGTTTTAAACATATGTATGAATAGTATAAAAATAGAACTTCTCATTTTAAAAAGAGTAATACGTAAGTTCAGAAGAATTATATGGATCTTCTTCTCACTGCATGATACAGGTCTTTACTCTGTGTTTCTGGTTGGTTTTATAAACCGCATGAGAGACTTTGTCTTGCATTTTCAGTCTACACTGAGCTTCAAGTGATTGTTTCAACAACTGCTTGATTTTCCTTCAAAAAGCTCTGAGAATTTACTTTTGCATTCACGTACGGAGAGAAGACTAAGCTATACCTAAAACAGAAAATAATGCATTTCATTTTTTGAGATAACATATAATATTCTAGCCTAGAGGAGACATCATTCCCTCCATTTACATTAACACCTCTTCCTTATAAAGTATTTTAACAGAAAAGCCAACAGTTTATTGTTTTGTTGTTGTTATTGTTCTGTTTTTTAACTTATTTCTTTTTTTTTATTAATTACAGTTTATTCACTTTGTATTCCAGCTATAGGACCCTCCCTCATTCCCTCCCACTCCCACCCTTCCTCCCTCGTTTCCTTCCATGCTCCTCTCCCAGTCCACTGATAGAGGAGGTTCTCCTCCCCTTCCATTTTTTTTTAAGTTAATGCATATAAATGTTAATGTATCCAATGTTACTGCAAGGGAAGAAGAAATAGAACTGAGATAGAAACACGATTGCTGGGAGTTTAATCCTAGCATTTCTGAGTGTAAATAAGTCCTGAAGTTGAGAATAAATATGTGTACATGCAAAATACTCAGTTTATATTACTTAAAATTTACTCCAGCAAATGCTCTTTGATAGGTTTATACTGCTATTCACCAAAGTATAACAAGTCGATTCATTTGGTACCACAAAACCCAAGTGCCTCTCAGGACCGGTTTTAAATAAATCATTGGGTTAATGTGATTTACAGAGTAACAGCTTCATGGATAGTGGTTAGCCCAGGTATCTGCAAAGGAATACAGGTGAGACAGAACACTCTCAGAATAGACTCTGATGAGCTTTCCGATTTCAATTCAGTGCAAGCTTAGGAAAAAGAATCTAGATTCTTATTTATTCATTATCCATTCATTCATATGCTAATTATTTACTAAGTTCTTTCTAAGGATCAGTGACTTACAGGTTCTTCTCTAGCCAGAAAAAAAGGACACTGAGGAAAAGGAGGAGAAAGGCCAAGGGGGTATAACAGGTTAACACCTGATGATTGATTGATTGATTGATTGATTGATTGATTGATTGATTGATGCTGGTTGGTGTTTGGTTACTCTAATCTTTTTGGAAGGGAAGGTGGTATTTTCTTTACTTTTATAGATGAACATACTTAATTAATCTTCCCAAGGTTATGCAGCAAACTATGCTGCACAAGGTTTGCCTAATTCTTTCACCCTGTGTTTTAATGGAGAGGAAATACAAAAAGTGAGAAATAAATACACATCCTAGGAATCCAAGACTGTGATTTAGGCATGTAATCTTCCTATCATGGTGCTTATTAGAAGTGAATTAATTTAGTAAGAATTCAATCAGTGCTTGTGAAACGATGGGGCCTTCTATCTTGTCCTACTTCCCCACTGAGTGTAGGAAGAG